TGCTCCTGGTGAGCAAGGGTTTCCAAATCTACCTCTACAAGTGAAGCTCATCCGATAAAGCAACAAAAACAAATCTCATGATGAACCCAAAAAGCTCAACTTTCAAATATCAAACTCTCTCGCAGACCCAGAGTAAGTCACTGGATGTGTCCAACAAAGTAATTCTGAATAACAAATCTGAGACAACTGTGATCTGTTTGCTGACAATGCATGAACAGAAAAAGTGGCTTAATTAGGGTAAGTCTACACTACCACCCTAGTTCGAACTAGGGTGGTAGTGTAGACTTACCCTAATTAAGCCACTTTTTCTGTTCATGCATTGTCAGCAAACAGATCACAGTTGTCTCAGATTTGTTATTCAGAATTACTTTGTTGGACACATCCAGTGACTTACTCTGGGTCTGCGAGAGAGTTTGATATTTGAAAGTTGAGCTTTTTGGGTTCATCATGAGATTTGTTTTTGTTGCTTTATCGGATGAGCTTCACTTGTAGAGGTAGATTTGGAAACCCTTGCTCACCAGGAGCAGTCCTTTGAGTGGGGAATAGTCCCACGAGGTCAGCGGGATCACTTCAGAGGCAAGTATATTATTTAATGGGACTGACAGTCATCTGCATCTGGTGGTAGTGTAGACATACCCTTATTTTACTACAAATTACTCTCCCAACCCCGGTGTTGAGTAGGAGAGTGCCATTCTCACAGAGGAAGTCCTTGTTCATAATCTCCATTGACATACACCTACTGAAGATAATCCCTCACCATAAACCTGGAACCGAGTATCTATGATCTTTGAAGATGGTTGGAATCTTGGCCTGGATCTAGATGTTATTGGCATAGCTGCCCATATAGTGTATTAAACCAAATCCTAGATCAGAACTTGTGTGTTGTTGAATTAAAAATCTGAGAGCTGTTGTTCTTTTGTGTGTGGGTGTTTTAATTTTGACCTACAATTTCTGATCTTTGTATGTTTTGGTTCCTAGTCTTTAGCTCCTGGCTCAGTATTTGATTGGCTCTCAATGTGCACACCCCAAAACATGTGAGAGGGATGACTCCATTCAACACTCTTGATTCTTTATGGCTACATGCTTACATGCACGTAGTATGCAACAATATTTTGGAAGGCAAAATTAAGATGCTAGCAATAGCATCTCTTCAACTAACAGAACCCTGGGAATTTCCACTCACAGGCGCTGACAGCCAAGTGATGTGTAACTAAGCAAATAAACGATGTGTTTGCCGAATATGCACCATATACCAATGCTATGAGAAATGGAGTTGAGAGAAGTCTTATGCAAGGAAGGCTAGCACTAAATTCTAGTGACATGAAGAAGCTATTGGGGGCACATCCTCAGCGTGTGTAAATTGGCATTGCTCCATTGAAAGCAACAGAACTGAGGGGCTGGCTGTAAGTGAATAAATAAGAAAATACCGACTGTGAGCCGATGCATGTGGCTGAGGGTAGCGGGCAGCCAGCCAAGGAGAAGTCAGACAGCACATAGTAGGGAAGGCCAAATGGAATCCGAACAGCCAGTTCACATACATGGCTGGCTTCCTTCTACTTCGAAACTCGCACGCCCTGCCCTTCATTCACAACTTTCAAAGCACCTTTTCTTTCCAGCCCAGCACCCCGTTCCACACACTTCCTTCTCGTTGCGAGCCCCACTCTGTTGCTATCACATCTCACGCAGGCTCGGTTGCTAAGTGCTCCAGTTTGTCTGGGACGCTGTTTCTTTGGGGAAATAACACTCTCCTCTCTCTCTCATTTTTCTTCCCAGCCACTTGTTCCAGAGGAGCTGGAATCTTGTAGAAATCTTTGATATTTTTAGCAACCCTGCTGCGTGGCTCACATGTGTTCTATATTTGGCTTTGCTCGTTATTTATTACAAGGACGTTTTCATGCCAAACAGGAGGGTGGGGTGTGTGTTCACCAACCCCCCACTGCTCATACCTCCTCTGAAGTCCCAATCCAGTGTTCCTGCTGGTTGCCATGGAGATGTTTAAGTGGCACAAGGCAGGATAATAACTTAAAAGAGTGTCTCGTGTCCAAGGGCGGGGGTTCTTATGATGACTGACCCCCCCATTTGGAAAAGACAGCTCAGGTGTTTATTATTATTATTATTATTATTTATTATTATTATTTTAATTAAAGCTTTAATTATCGATCACATGGCGCCCCACCCTGAAGTCATTGGAGATGGGGAGAGTGATTAATAATAATTCCTGTCTCTTATTTAGCACTTTTCACCCACAGGCCTAAAAGCACTTCACAAGAAAATAATAGATAATGATGTGATTACATAGTTTAAAATTCTGAGGCCACTTTCTGCCCCTCTCTCACTGAGTGGCCTCTTTTATTTTATTGAGGCTTACTGCTAGAGGGAGAAGTTTTCCCTTACAAGTGAGACTGGAAGAGTCTGACCCATCTATAGAGTTTTTCAAGTTTTCCGTCAGAGTCCAAGTGTCCGTTTCAGTGAAACACAGTCAGCCAAACCTCATGTACACTACCTATTTCTTTCGGAGTAGTTCACGTTGTGGTGCAGTGAGGTTGTTTTTTTCAGGAGATCCCCTTACATAGTAGCCTCCTGAGCTTGTTTCCAGCTGCTGTGCATCCTATGAGAAATGCGCAGGGTGGGGTTCAGTCCAGTCCAAGCATCATTACAGCTGGTGGTTCTTCTAGGCAATCTCAACAAAGAAACCAGTCCACAGAGAGTGATTGTCCTTGGTATCAGGGGATGATCCCTTCTGGGGAAGGAGAGGTGCATCTGAGGAAAAGCTAAACTGCCCCAAAAGTGCTCTGAGAGTCTCCGGGTCCCTCAAATTAGCCCCTGCCACTAGCATTAAACCCCCATGAAGGAAATATATATAGATGTGCCTAGCTGTCACTCTGATGCCTATGGAACATGTCCCACACTGATTACACCTCATAACTACATTCCCTACCCACAGGGACGTGCAGACGGCTGCCTCCTGGCAACACGCGCCCAAAGAGGCAAGGCTGGAGCCAGGGGCTTCCCTGCTTCCCTGCCAGCAAAGGAGATAATGCCACACCCCTGAAAGGCAGACTTCCTCTTCCTGTTTTGTGCTGTACAGACTGGACCATGGGAAAAGCCCCCGGGAAGTTGCAAGCAGGGGTGTCAGTAGATAACCATAGGCAGTGACATGCAGCCAACTCTCAGGGCACCTCAACAGCACCACATGACACACAGGCCCTCCTGTGCCGGGCCTGCAGGAGCTGGGGCCAAAATGGCCCCCATCCTTTCCCTCTCATGCACATTCTTTCTAACCCCTTGTATTCTGTCATTTTCCCCTTGTGGCATTTCCTCGTGTTCTGCTTCCCCTCTCCTCCAAATGCCCCGCCCTCTTCCCTCTCACCTCATGCCTGCATGGTGTTGGGACTGGGGGTCCTTGGCGTTCCCACCCGGGAGCTAAGCCCCTCAGAACGGACCTGGCCTGCGGTGGAAGCAGCGACGGCGGGCTGTTGCCTTTTGAGGTGCCAGCTACACCCAGAGCAGCACGTCCACAGCAGGTTGTCACAGCAGAGGAATCGTTCCGCTCTTTTCACCCCTACATCTCTTCTCCACTGTCCTGTCATCCTTCTCTTGCCTGCTGGAGCACCTTTTCCCGCAGGGCTTGTTGACCTAGTGGGATCTGCAACAGGACGGCTCAGGACAAAAAGTAAAGAATATTGCATGCACTTGAGTCTTCCAGCCAGTGAGTGAGGGAATGCCCCTTCTCCCTGCTCCTAGTCTGTGGATTGGTCTTCGTTGCGATCATGTGAGATTTTCCACTACCTCTTCCCACCAATGTGTATTTCTCCTGGGTCCACCCATTCTCCATTCTCCACCTTGCCAGCGGGGCTCTCCACCTTCACAGACCTGCCAACCACTGCCATCAATCCAAACCTCTGCTTCAAAAGTGGCTTTCCACTCTTCCGGCCTGCTGTGAATTGGCTAAGGTGGGGGAGAGAAGCTGTTGCCAACTTCCTGCTCTTATAAAACAAGGTAGGTGTCTCTGGTCACATGTCGAAAGGCACGAACCCAGCAGCTCAGCCTCCCAGAGTCTAGCCTAAAGAACAGGCTGAGTTATGACCTCTCCACTTCCCGTAGGTTGCATTTTCCAACATGACAGCTGAGGAGGGTGTGCATGACAAATTGTATTTACAAAGGAAACATTGAGCCCTGGAAGAGCACGACCTCTATTGGCTGAACAAGTCCCATCTGCAGGAACTCTTGTAAGAATTACGATGTTCGTGCTTGCAAGGCCACACTGCTGCTGCACGTTAGGATGTTACCAGGCAGATTTCAAGCATAGTGGGTAGAAGTGTACATACCTTTTCAATAGATCGCTACTCCAGGATTAAGAGCTCTCTAATAAGTGCCCAGAATCTTAAGGAGGGCAACATTTTTGGTCCTTCCATTTTTACATATGTTCTGAGCCACCAAGAAATAAACCCTAGTTGGTATTGAGAGTTGAATGTATTTTGGTGTGAGTCACTGTTATTGTTTGGTTCCTTTGGCGCATTCCAGAGAGGATCCCCTCCCCTTTGTGTAGACTATCACCTTTTGTTTGTTTGTAGCGCGTATCCTGGCTTATGTTCCCAGCAAGTAGGAAAACCGCCATAAATGTGGCTTATCAGCATTCTGATCCATTTTCTTTCACATCCACTTGGATTTTGTGCATTGCCAGGAACATCTGTGCTGCTTTAGTGGCATATAGTTTTCAAGTCTAATTAGCTGGCTGCTTGTAATCAGGACTGTTTCAACTGTTGTCATTCTGAATGTTCTTTTTTCCTTTTTTTAATACCACATTTGCCTGATTGACCTTTTTTTTTTTCTCTGTCTTTCTATCGGGCTGCTCCAGGAGCCATGGCTAATCATCTTATAACCAATGCTCTGCTTCGTCCTCATGGCACTAACAACCCTTATAATACATTGCTCGGGGAATCGGCGGTCTATAACAACCCTTCCGTCAGCATGTACAACACACAAGGTGTGCAGGCGTTTCTCTCTAATTTTTCTAGTGAGAGTCCCATGTTATGTGGCTTTTATAGGCCCATTTTTTTCTTTTTTTCCCCCCCTTCTTTTTTCCCCCCCTCCCTTTGTTTTTTGGAACCGGGTATAAAGAATATCTTCTCTCATCGCAGTACATCTTCTCCATTTTCCTTAGGCTTTTTCTCACTAGCCTTGCTGAACGGCTGACTTCAGTTTGATAGCTGTTCCTCAGATCCATTCAAATATGTGTGGTGGTTTTTGATTCCCTTTGGTTTTGTATTGTTTATGTTGTCCGTGTGTGTTTTGTCCGTTGTATCCATGTCCCTCTTGGTTGTCAGTTTGTTTCTTTGTTGAATCATTCATTTTAGAAAAAGGAGCACCTTTCAAGGTAAGTGAGGTCAAAATGGCCTTTGATCCCAAAGCTACTATTGCTTGTGGAATAGCATATCGAAAAATAAATGGTCAGTAGCTCATCAGTGGGTCTGTCATAGGTTATATATTTAAAAAAAACCCCATCCTTGAGCTATCAGACATAGGGAACCAAAAATCTGGACTGGCTCCAAAGAGAGCCGATTTTAGAGTGGGGCAATAAATGTATTCTCAAGTATGTAAGCTACATGTGCTCTAACGAGACCAAATAAAAGCTGCAGCAAACTAGAAACTCTTCTTGTAGCCTTGGTCTAGTAAATCGGAATCAAATAGCTGCAAAGAGTCTACGGAACCTAATGTATAAGATTCTACAGCCAAAATCACTCTCTTGTGGCCTATATTTTAGTCTTCTGTATTTGCTCGGGTTGCATGAGTCAGCCATGTTGGTAAATAAATGTCAAAATGCTTTTCGTTATAGATAAATCTATTCACAAATCTTTTGTGGAATAAATCTAATATTTGAATGCTTCATCAGGATCAGTTTTTTTATCCTATTTTTTTCCCCAGAGACGACAGAATTATTGGAGAGTAAAACTCTTTTTTCAAACATAAATACTTTCCAAAATGTCAGCTTTCTTTATTTGCTCCTCTTCTATTTAAGGTATCCCTTTACAGTAAGGGGTCACCCAAGAAAGTCAATAAATAATGGCAATAGCACAAGCAGTAAAGATATGTTGTAATATGCAGTAGTTTATGGTAGAATTATATACTGAATACCACTTGGGTCTTTTAATTCAAATCACAAACGGGAAAGCACATGCATTTGACCATTTCTGTTCATAAATATCTTGAACCGTACTAGCTTTGCACAATAAATTAGAATACTTAATTCTTGTTCAATTTAGAGTTTGCTGTATAACTGTTAAAACAAGTTTTGATAATCTGTATAATTTAGGTACATCAGTTTATTTTCTTGCTGGAGAGTGATAAAGTGTTAAAGATGTTACTGTTAAAAGATGTTATGCTTTTTAAGATTAACATCATTTTACCACTGCTTTCAAAATTAGCAAGGGGAAGTTTTAAATTGGCTTATAGAGGTACTGTCTAGATGGCTACAGGTAATGTTGTCAGCATTTGCCTTGATTGCAATCCCCAATTTTCATGGCTGTGTCTCTCATCTCTAGAAATGTGTGCAAGGCTAAAATAGAGCAAAACGTTTCTGCTCAAAAGTGCATTACATTTTTTTTAAATCATGTTCATTTCATTTGAAGGCCCAATTGCTGCTTCTATTATTTGCAATGATTCCACAAATTCCTCATTCCACAAATAGTCCCATGGATTTTAAGGTACTACTTGATATGAGGGAGGAAACCTGGAGCCAGAGAAGTTATAAGTGTGGGTTCAGTCACTAGAAATGAAAGAGAATTCAGCCAGTATTGATGTATTTTTGCCGTTAATGTCAGTGGGAGCAGAAGAGAAGTCACTATTTCTTGGAGGTGACCCGTTTATTGATAACAATCAGGGTATCATGGGAAGTAAGAAATGTTATAGATATTGCCTTCAAAACGATGTGCTTGTCTCTGGGCAGGAATTTCTTTGTAGTCTTTGATGAAATGTCTCTGTGAATTTTAGAGGAGTCTATATTGCAGCCTCAAGTTAGTAAATATAGATGTCCATGAAAGGCCTTCTGAGTACCTGGCATTCATGCATGCTGACCCAATAACCAAACTAACAGCATAGTGATAATCTATTGAGTCGATAGCACATTTGGTAAATATCCATTCAGTTCCACATCAACATGACTTCAGAGTGCTTTCCACGCACTACAGAGTGTCACCATATTTGAGTTTCTCGTGACTAGGATTAAATGCTTGCAGCATGGTAAACAGCATCTTCTAATTAACTCGGTCTCAAACTCTAATGTAGACAAGGCAGTGGTTACTTGCACCTCTCTCTAAAATGTTCAGTGTTGGCCAGCGTCAGAGACAGAGTATTGGGCTGAATGGACCCCCTGACCGATGCAGTGTAGCAAGTTCTATGTTCCAGTGTATGCTAGCATACTTCCAGTTGACACCACCTTCTCCGCACTAGACTTTTCTAATGCGTTAGCTTCCCCCCACAAAAGTAGAGTTGAGCCCTGATGGTGGGAATCCGCCTTCATGAGTTTTTGACTTCGAGGAAGCTGGGTATAGAGCATTTGTAGAGTACATGCTCTAAGGGTCCCAGTCTGCACTCTGCACTGTCTCAGAACAGATGTTTGCCATTAGGATCCAAAGCTCATTGAAACCAAGAGAAGGCCTTAGAAGTCAAAGGTGAAACTCTCTATTCCTTCCATGGGATGGATTCAGCCATAAGGTAGTAATTGAGAATCTGGGGAGGTGGGGGGGAGTTGCTGAAGCATACAGGTTGCCATAATTTGGCCCTGACACAGGCTTTCACTGGATAGGCTGAAGAATCAGTTTGAGTCTCGTATCAAAGATGGGTGTTTTACAAACACTTTTGTGAATGAGATAATGTAAGTGAGATGTGCCACAAACCAGGAAACTGGACGTTAATACTTCATCCTCATCTTTGGAGTGTTTGGTTCAAAAACAAACTCAATAAATAAATGCTTCATTGCAAAAGTTTGAAAATGCCAGTGCCCCTCGGTGAGCAAATTCCCATAGTAACAAAACGATGCGTGCAAAAGATGGAAGACACAACATTTGAGCAAGGAAATGGGTTTCAGTTTCAACTGCTGGGGTGATAATAACTAACAGTAAGTAAATACATGCATTCTAATGACATTAAAAGTGTCTATCTTTCTGAGTGGAGGGGTTGCCAATTTAAACTTTATATTTTAAAAGAGTGCAACAAAAATCAAGAATAAAACATTTGGAAATGTAAACTGGCATGGGAAAAGTTTTTAAATAAATCATTTTTAAAAGTAACATGTTTATTATTGTGCTTAAAACTTTGTTCCTGTCTGAAATGTCGATATTTTAACCTGAAATAAACCATGTAAGAGATTCATGTATTCTGGGCAGTGGAAATTATTTCTGTTAACTCTTTTTTCTGCATATCATCAATTTGCTTTTTACTCATGTTTCTCCTATTGTCACTGTAAGCTTACTTGTTGTTTTTTCTTTCCTTTTCTTCATGCTGTCGTTTAGAGCCCTACAGAGAGACAAGTATGGGAGTAAAGCTAAACATTGCATATCAAATGTAATTTTTTTTAGTTCACTTTTATTGCATCACATATAGATGATGTAGTTATTAAAAATAGTTCATCTCACAAAATTCTGAAAACCAAAGAATAAAAGCCATATGGATTAATATATATAGCTATATATATATATATTGATACAGATTAGATTCTTTTTATTGTCTGTTTCTTTTTTTGTGTCTTTTATGCAACATAGGTTCTGAGTCTCATGTAATTGTGTGTGTGTGTGTGTGTGTTGCATTGTTTTTAAATTGAACATTTTGATTTGCAAAGTCATAAACCTTTTATCATTTTATATGGCGTATTTCATTATGAAACTTACTCTGTGTCAAATGCAATTGCATCGACTTTATTTTCCTACAGAATCTTCCCGTTTCCAATTCTATGCATTGTCAGCAGAAATAACAAGCAATGTCTCAATGCATAAATTACTCAGCCATGACCATTGAGCAGACACTGTAGTATCAATCACTCATTACATACAGTCCTTTACAAATACTTGCTTTTTATTTTCCTTAACGTTCTGAATCATTTACGGAGACCTTCAACCATGAAAATAAATGGCTTTGTTCTATGTCTGTGATGGGTAGTTTATTTTAGGCATAACTTTCCTTGTTGGTTTGAAATACATGATACCACAATCTACAATGGGCACCAGGAATCCAAAACAGGAGTGAGAGATTTGGGATATTTCACTCAAAGAAAGACCAAAGTCTTCAGTAGTGCTTTCTTGTCTTAGATAGATGTACTGATGGTAGTGCATCACAGACATAGACTGAATCCTGTATTTTCAGAAGGTACATTAGCAGTGTATTAAGGGTTTTCCTTGCTGATGTGAATGATCATTAATCCTTGTTTTTAACAAAGAACTGCTCTAATCCATCCCTGTTGGTTCAATGTTTTAGCAGAAACTGCATGCGCTGAGAAAAAATATGGAAAGCTTCTCATGTTGGGTGTTCATTCTAATGGTTACAGTTGACATTAGCATGATAGCTTAACATGCCAAGACCTGACTCTTCTCTCACTTACACTGGATTTACTGCCCTGGCTTCAAAACAGTTTATTCTTCATCAGCCCTGGTATAAGTGAGTGAAGATTCAAGCCCCAGATGTGATTCACATTGCCAGTCGGTTTATGGAAAACGTATACAGTTAATTAAATAGTTTCAATAAAACCTACTCATTCCCAGAAGCACCGGCGCCGTGTCTGCCATTATGTCAGTGTTTCTTCCTGAGGTAGGTCAGAAGTGCTACCATTAGGATATGATTTCAAAATGGCAGGCCACGTTATAACTGGCTGACTCGTGCACATGGGTGTTATGTGACTAACTACCCAAGCGGCCATGATGAAAATGCATCCCATCAAATCTGGAGAGCCCACAACCTTTACAACAGGTACTGTCCCAGTTATCGAACGTAGCTATCTAATGGAAAATTGAAACCCAGATGCAGCTAGGAAAGAATCTAGTACATGGATCTTAGTAATAAAAACTCTTATCCCTGGTATATGAGTACAATACAAAGTTCATAGGACAGCGTCATGAAAACAATTTTGGGCATGCCCCTTCTAACAGAAGGGGTGAGATATCTATATTTTTTCTAAATATGTCTCCAACACAGAAAATGATTTTAAAAATCACAGATTCACAAGCTAGAGAGGGCTGGGGACTAGACTTGATGACCTCTCAAGGTCCCTTCCCGTTCTATGATTCTAGTCACCATGGATCAAAAATTATATCCATCCAACTATCCCACTGAGTCAAGGAGAGCCACATAGGTGAAAGGGAAATAATGATCTCACGTATGTAATCAGTTTACTAAACCATGCTTTGGGAATGGGATAGCTACATTGCAAATACAGGTTCTCCACTTATATAAATTGTCATCTTTCCATTGAAATCAGTGGTGCTAGGACAGTTTATATCAGCTGAACATCTCCCCTGTAGACTTCACAGTTCTAAGAAACATACAAAACAAGCTGAGAGAGCAGTTGGGAACAGTTATGTGTGGTATAAACAGGAGCTATTTGGAGAGGGTCTGGACCTTCTTATTAGCTACTGTCAAATCAAGTGCAAACCCTGATACCATCATTTTCAGTGGAAAAACCTTAATCAGATAAGCTAGAGCTCTTGTTCCCATGTAAAATACGATTGAGCCTTTTGGTTTATTTCATGATGCTACTGTTATCAAACCCAATCTATTTTTTTTTTTCATTTTTTAAAATTTTGTTTGAGCTCTATTTTTACTCAGCTGCTGTGTTAGCATAGCCACACAGTGCAGCACTGCTAAAGAAAGTGTGATGATTGCGCAAGTCCTGTGGGAATGTCCTGTTTTGCCCAAGTCACCCTCTCTTATGTGATGTTTTTCAGAGGGGCTTCTGAACAATGCCAGGGATACAAGTGTCATGGATACTCTACCACTGAATGGTAACCACGGCAACAGCTACAGCATCGCCAGCGGCGAGTACCTGAGCAACTGTGTGCAAATCATTGACCGTGGGTATAATAACCACAATGAGACTGCCCTAGAGAAAAAGATCCTGAAGGAACTCACGTCCAACTACATCCCTTCCTATCTGAATAACCATGAGCGCGCCAGTGAACAGAACAGGAACCTGGTGAACAAACTCGTCAACAACATCGGCAGCGCAACTGAAGACGACGCCATCGTGCTTGACGATGCCACCTCCTTCAACCACGAGGAGAGCCTGGGCCTGGAACTCATCCACGAAGAGTCCGACGCCCCCTTGCTGCCGCCGAGGGTTTATTCTGCTGAGAACCACCAGCCGCACCACTACACCAGGAGACGGATCCCGCAAGACAACAGTGAGAGCTTTTTCCCCTTGCTAACCAACGAGCACACAGAAGACCACCAGTCACCCAACAGGGATTCTCTGTATACCAGTATGCCTGTGCTCGCGGGCATGCCTGTCACAGAAAGCGTTACCACCAGCACCCAGACCGACCCACCCGCAGCCAAAAGTGGTGATGCCGACGATGTGTACTACAAAAGCATGCCAAATCTAGGCTCCAGAAATCACGTTCATCAGCTACACACTTACTACCAGCTAGGACGAGGCAGCAGTGATGGTTTTATAGTCCCACCGAGCAAAGATGGGACTTCCCCTGAGGAGAGTTCCAAAGGACCTGCTCATTTGGTTACGAGTCTATAGAAGATTAAGCAAAAAATTAAAACAATGTCCCCTCCCTTTCCTCCCTAACACCTGGTTTACTGTTCTGAGTTAATACAAGCAGTGGTAATATTGTGCGTACTCCTAAATCTTCGTGCTGTTCTAAAAACACAAACGGTCAGACTTTTTTTTTTAACTGGAATTTTTAGGCCGCTGGGGGGAGCATAATAAATGATGAAATTCCACCCCTTTCCTCTCCTCCCTCACTCAGACAGACTTCATTATGTTAATGAAAGAGATACACTAGATAATGGCACACTTCGTGGCCTTCTCGAATTATGCTGTGTTTGTTTAAACATCCTTGATGCTCTGTTGCTATTATTACTGAGGACCTGATTTAAAAACACAAACAAAAAAAAAAAAAAAGGCCAACACGTGCATTTGAAACTAGTAGCGATGATGCATCTCGGTGGGAGTGCTGCACAAAGAACAAACAACAACAAAAAATAGCAAAACTGTTTATTATGAATCTGTATCACATAATGGTTTTTGGTCACTCACAACTTGATTTAACTGCAGCGCACATTGCTGCGGGAGCAAACAAAACAAAATAATGAAATGGAAGGGAATTCTAGAATTATATATGCTACGCGCATATTTTATGTTTTGCTGTATTAACTGATGATAAAACAAACTAATGGCAGAGAAAAATTGAACAATTTCTATGTAATGTACAGATACTAGCATTGCACATATAGTCTGCTTTTTGTTCCTCCAGAACTTGCGTCCCTGTTAATGTAGTGGAAAAAAAAAAGAACTTTTTTTGTTGTGCTGGTCTTGCAAATTTGTCTACCAGTAGGAGCAAGATTTTTCATAAATCTTTTTTTGCCATTATTTTCTTTTTAAACAAATCACCGGGCATAAAAACAAACAGAAAGCAAACACAAAAAAAGTAACTTTCTAAGGCTCATTTTCTAATAATGTGACCGCAAATTCTTTTTGACCAACGGAATTTTCTTTTTTTCACTCTCTCTTTCTTCAGTAGGTGTATTGCCAACAGAAATTTTGCAGATTAGAGCAGGACAAACTTTGTGTTTACAGTGCACAACTGATATTATTCATACTAATTTGAAGCATATTTGGCAAGCCGTCCCTCACCCAGGTAATAGGCACGGTACTAGAAGCCAAGAGATCTCTTATAGTTATAGTTGGGCTTCTGCATGTGAAAACAATATCCCTGTAGGAGTTAAGAGTCTTCAGGCCTCAGTCTGGTTCCCAATCTAGGCACTTGTACTGCAGTGGTTTAAAAAGAAATTTGACTGTCTTATAGCAAGAATTGAAAACCAACTCTTGAAGTGATTGAAAAAAGTCCTCTGTTCATTATTTTCCTGACAGGAAATTTATTTATTTGACAGGATTTGAAGTAGTAATATAGGCTTTCCGGAGGTAAATTAGCAGCACAGATTATAATTTTTTTTTAATTTATGATCCATTTTGTATGGTCTCAAAGTTGAATGACCTCATTACTAATATTTGTTGTAAAAGTGAAACTTGTTTGCCAACCAATAAACAACTGATTAAGATTTAGAAGATACTGTATGTACTGTACAATTCATCTTGCTCTTCATTTTTCTCTCCCATGCTTTCTTCAGTACAAGCGCAGGGCCAAGGAAACGAACCCTAGATGAATAACTTAAGCACAAAATTATGTAGCTATGGCTGACTGGGAGGGTCTGGGAAACCAAGCTTAGGTGTACATTGTCTTGGGGCAGGGATGAGATGAATCGAACCTGCTTTTCAGCAGGTTACTATAGAGGTGTAG